AGAATTTTCATTTTTGGAGGGAAATGTGATTCAATTACCACGACGGCCAGAATCATGTTGAGTTTCTGTGGGACCAGGAACCGACGCAACACAATACAGAGGAGTAAATACTACTCAAACTATATGTGCTTCACTAAATTTATGTACAGTATGTTAATCTGAGAGCTAGAATTTACTCATCAGCTTCTCTGTTTCAACAGTGTGTCTCTGATTCTACGGAGTAATGAAATAGACATCACCATGGGAAATATCTGTGTCATTATTCTGCTTCACAAGGAAAACGGGGACGTGTTTCTGTGGCCTGCTGTTCAGCAACAGCCAAAAGATGTCAAGTTGACAGGCATTTTAGGTTAGAGTGCTTCACTTTTAAACATTTAAGCATGTATCAACATTTTAGCAATCAAATAGAACATTTTGATTTGTAACTTGCTTTAATTATTAAACCAACATGGGATAAATAACTGTGGATAATATTAAAGGAAAAACTGATGCTTCATATGAGGAGATTCAAGGATCACAAACACCAACTCTAAAGATAAATGACCAGGAAGTGAGCGCAAGCTGGTACGTGATAAACAATACGTACGCTGCTGATTTTTTCTTGTATTATACATCTGTTTAATCTATTAATGTATCTGTAGGGTGGATGCCACAGACTACAGACTTTCTTCAAAGCCGGTTATCAAATGCTGGCTTGTCTCGTTCTACGCTGTGATGCAGAGAGACATTTCTGATTTTACTGTCACTGAGCTGTAGAGTTCAAAGCTGGCAAACGAAGCATGTTTCTATGTAAATGAATTAATTGACATAAAAACAATGTGTTAGAATCTGGATTTTTTTCCACTTTGTTAAAATCTATTTAAAATGATCTCTCTTTAAAATTGAAAATGATTTAATGAGCATTTTAGGATTGCAGCTTAATCGAATAAACATTTCTTGATATCACAACATCTAACATCTATCACATCTAACATTATATGCATTACTAGCTTGTCCACGCAATACAGTACATACTTGTTTACGTTAGCAAGTGACTGTATTTTTTAGAAGTTTTATTAGAACTTTTAAGGTTTTATTTGGAACTACATTAAATGCAGGAACAGAAAACTCAATTTTATGAATAGTATAAATAATGGCCATTCCTATTTTCTGCTGTTTTCTCTAGTCTCAGTGAGAAGAAGCTTTTTAAAAAATGCATCAGATGTGTGTAAGTCATAAGCCAAGTCATGGTGATTCATTAGATTTAAGTAAGACTTCAAGGCTATACTAATAAGGGTATTTGAGTCAGCAGTTACACAGACAATCTAAACTATGTACAGGGCACTTTATCTGTATGCTTTGACTTTTGTCCTTGTGCTTTAAACTTATGTGATCATGTACACTTGAGTTTATGACACTGTAACACTTCATCTAAAGGAACTTGAAGGAAATTTAAGATTATGTAACTTTTATTTTTCAGTATTAATTAAAGGGGTATTTCACAAAAAAATACAAATAAATAAATAAAAAATCTGCAGAACACAAAAGATGTCTTGTTTCATTGTATGTCCAAAAACATTTTCCAAAATATCTTTTGTGTTCCAAAGATTCTGTAGTTTGGAATGAAAAAATTATGACAGAATTTTCATTTTTGGAGGGAAATGTGATTCAATTATAATATTTTAACATTGATGGCAAAGTAAACTCCCAGGCTAAAACATGGAATTAAGCGCCTGGGATAGAAAGAAACCAACGACAGAAGTCGGATGTTATGTTTATTGACTAAACTTGACAGTTCACTAAATGAGTGGTTAAACAAAGCTCCGTGTTTCTAGGAGCTGCGTCACTGCTGTCAGGTCAAAGGCCATTTGGCTTGCCTCTCTGCTGTTGAACTAAGTTTCCATTTAAAGCACTGCTTTCCACTCCAGATCTTTTGAATAATACTTTGGGAGTTCCGGCAGATTGATACTTTGGATTATTGAGCTCATAGACATTGAATTTGTGAAATTCACCTTGAGGTTTGAAGAAGAATCCAGCAAATCCTTTGAATGCATCTGCAATCACTGAAGTCACCACAGGCAAGTACAACTGCCATTGTTATGGCTTTGGATCTGCCATATCTGTAAAGGAATTATAGAGGAAATATATCTGTGGAAAGACAATTAAACAATGATTTCAGGCAATATTTTGCTTCCCCTGAAGAGAACTAAACCCGTAGCAGTATTTCTGCGCTTTGAGTTCTGCAATCATTAACTACTGATGCATTCCAGAGCGTTTTGTCATTGTGTTCTCAGGCAAAACTACAATAATGCATAAGGATCTACACTGCACACTGGTTTTGAAATGTTTGAACATCTTTATAATGGTCTCGAATGGGAAATATTAGTAAAACATTGTTCTGTTGCTTTCAGTTAAGTAAAAGTTGTAGACAGTATTTGAAGAGATGCATAAAAAATAGTAATTGCTTTCAGGAACCAATTACATTCAAATTAGATTTTGGTTCATCCTTGGACACTCCATTATGGTTAATGGGACAAACAGTTCCAGTCATGGACTGAGTGATGTTGAGCGAGTGTTGGTACCCATATTTGACAGCTTCATCCTGGTAACTGGGGTGGTGGGACACATCCTGGTTCTTATCGTCATCTGTCGTACGATGCGGCGAGGACATGGACAGGCCAGTGGAGGAAGGACAGGAGGACTCCAACAAAAAAATGCAAACGGCACAGATGTTCTTCTTCTGTCATTAAGTGTGGCAGATCTTCTCCTCCTTTCATGTCTTCCATATCACACAGTCGCCATTGTAACCCGTCACTGGCCGTTTGGAAGCTTCATGTGCAAGTCTGTGAGCTTCCTGAGTGCGATGTGTACAGCTGCGAGTGCCTTTACGCTGGCCGGTTTGGCTTTTGCGCGGTACATCATTGTGGTCCATCAATCAAAAGCGTATCAATGGCGTAGAGAGGGACGTTTAAAAGTAGTTGCGGGTGTACTGTGGATACCAGCAGTCATCTTGGCATCACCTCAGTTTGCTTGGAGGACGCTGATTTCAGGCCTGGACAACCATGAAGCCCGTGAGGACCTGGCATGTTTCAATTTCCTGTCTGACAAAGGCGTTTGTATTTCCACTTGGGATCATTGTAATAGCCTATGCCAAGATATACCATTTCCTCAAAATCACTAGAGGTGGCCGCACAACTCAGACTGACCGTTTGGAGCACTACCATGTGCATGTGACTCAGACGTCTGCTCTGTTAGTGCTGGCGTTTGCATTGTGTTGGCTGCCTTCCTATGGCTTGATGTTTGCCCAAATAGCTGAGGTTGATAAAGCAGCTGGTCCTATATCTCACTTCGGACCTTTTGCTGCCTTTGCACGCATCATGGCAACCTCTTCTACAGTGGCCAACCCCATTCTCTATGTCTTTATGTCAGAGAAATTCAGGAAGGAACTAATGGACCTGGGTCAAGGAGTCTGTGGAAAAAGACCCTCCTAAAGTCATATAGTTAGAGTTAATTAGCATGATTTGTTCCATAAAGTAAGTTGTTTATGGCTAAGATGTATATGGCTGTATATAATGGATTAACAATGAGTATTTTGTTTATAACCAAACATGTAGAACACTTTCATGAGATGTTCATGATGCAACAATGACCAATGGTTTGGACACTAAGGAACTTTGTTCTGGTATTTCAATGTACCAATTTTTGCACAGCCTAATAAAATGTCAAAAGGAACCAAACAGCTGGCATTGTACATTGTTTTAATATTTTGTGTTGGTTAAACTGCAGACTTGCCAAGGGTTTGTTCAACACAAGACAGTGTAGTTTGACTTGAGTTTAAAGGATGCACTCTTTAAAACATGAAGGTTCTTTATTGGCATCTATGGTTCCATGAAGAACCTTTAACATCCATGGAACATTTACATTCCACAAAAGACTCTTAAAGAGATAGTTCACCCAAAAATTAAAAGTACCCCATAATTTACTCACCCTCAAGCCATTCTAGGTGTATATGACCTGGCTCTGTCCAAGCTTTGTAATGGCAAACAAACAGTGAATACTATTAACAGCAATGATTATACGTTGCGATCAAACTTATAGGAAAAGTTTTGTATGTTGGTTCTGGATTGTCGTCATCTCAGGTCCTCGGAGGGGTTGGCATCATCTCTTCTCAGGTGTTCCATCATCTCAGATCTTCATGATGGGCTGGATCCAGACTGAAGCTTGTGTAATTCCTAGTTACCTCTGGATCACCCATTCACTGCCATTATAAAGCTTGGAAGAGCCAGGACATTTTTAAATATAACTAAGTTTGTATTCGTATGAAAGAAAGTCAGTCATATACACCTAGGATGGCTTGAGGGTCAGTATCCCTTTCATTGTGGAAAAAGTTTCTTCAGATTATTAACACGTTCTTCACACTAATAAAAAATGTGTCTTTTAAGAACTGATCACTGAAAAGTTCGGGAAACCCAGATTTTTCTTCTATGTTTTAAAGATCGCACCTAAAGCAATATTTGATCAATTTGCAAATCTCTTTGTGGTTAAAATCGGTTTGGTTGAGGGGGAATATTAAGTCATACGTTTAAAATGAGAAGGCAGATTTTGAGAAAAAAAGAAAAGTCATTCCCAATTTTAACGTTTTCTTTTGATTATGCTCAATGTTGAAAATATATTTAAGCCCCAGAAAGTAATAACTCATATATATAAATGCCATAATGAAAGGACAACCTGTTAGAATTTACATTTGGAATTAAAATTTAATGCAATTGTAATGCAAATTTAAATAAGTCAATACTTGCAAACATTAGACCTGAGAATTTGTATCCGTTAAGTGTCAGTCTGGGTTAACCCGAGGAAAGGCAGCTGAAGTGGATTTTAAAAAAAAGGTCAGCATATAATATACTTACGAAAAGTCTTGAAGTCTTTTTTTTTTTACTTTTGTTTACGTAATTCCTAGGCCAGATGGGATTGAACCATTGAACCATAATTTACTTAATATGAACCATTAAAATAATAGGAAACACTGTTTGTCTACTCTACAGCTGAGTGACAGTGAAATCAGAAATCTCTGCCTCCATCAGAGCCTGGAACGGTACAAGCCAGCATTCTCGAACAGGAGTTGAATGTGATCTGTAATCACTGACAGTCTCCCTACAATTAATAGACACAAATAATACATTTATAAATTCTATATATAAAGCAACACAATACTTTTTTAAAATGAGGAACAGAAAGTGTTATGGAAGATTGTATGTATTTATTAACTGAATCACTTACAAAGATGTCTTCACCTCCTTGTCCTTTATCTTTAGAGTTGGTGTTTGTGATCCTTCAGCCTCCTCATATGAAATATCAGCCTTTCCTTAAAGATTATCCACAGATATTATGATTTGTCACCAATGTTGGTTTAACAACAGCAATTTATCCAAAATATCAACTTTATAACAATAACCAGTTGTTGGCTAAGCAATGTACAGTACATAATCGGCACAATAACATCACTGACATATTGGTTATAATTATATTAAAGTTTTTTGAACATGGCTAATCACAAAATGTTCTATGTTCAGAATGGAATACTACTGATCAACGTGCAGTGAATTTGTTTTAAATAGTAAGTGAAACATTAGCCATTATTCCATGATTTCAAACAATAGTATACTACATTTTGGCCATATGACTCATCACGTTGTTTAAGCAAGTGGTAAGAGTAATAACTTAGCATATTATTCTAAACATAGGCACACTGTTCTTCTAAAATGTAAAATTGTTGTCAGATATAAGATTATTAAATGAATAATTTACCCCAAAAAATAAAATTTGCGGAAAATGCATTTACATCCAAGAAAAAGCAATAGGTATAGAGGACTTTATTTTAACCGGAAGCAATGGTTTGAAGTTAAAAATATCTTAATGATGGATTTGTTTGTTACAAACATGCAGCTTTTGCACGTCACAAGATGTTAATTGATGGACTGGAGTGGTGTGGATTACTTGTGAATTATTGTGATGTTTTTATCAGCTGTTTGGACTCTCATTCTGACAGCACCCATTCACTGCAGAGGATCCATTGGTGAGCAAATGATGGAATGCTACATTTCTCCAAATCTGTTCCCATGAAGAAACAAACTCATCTACATCTTGGATGGCCTGAGAGTGAGTACATTTTCAGCAAAGTTTCATTTTTGGATGAACTATTCCTTTAATGCGGAGCCTACTTCAGTATTAGCAGGAGGCACGTTTTGATTCTGTAAATAATGTTTAAATGTTTAGACAGTGAATTACTCTCTTACCTAAAACACCTGTCAGGTTGGCATCTTTTGAATATTCCCAAATGGCAGGCCACAAAAACATGACCCCATCTTTCTTATGAGAAAGAATAATAACACCTATATTTCCCATGGTAACATTCATTTCACTTTTCAGAACAACCAGAGACACACTGTTGATAGAGAGTAACTCACGAGTGAATTCTACCTCTGTTTGATCACAATCAAACTGTTAACAAACAGAGAACAGTTAATACACAGAAGATTTAGAGTTCCTTTATGAATATATTTGTTCTTTCTATGCTGAGAACTTCTGTATTTACCTATCTGTATTGTATTGGGTTGGTTCCTGGCCCCACAAAAACTCAACATTGTCCTGGCCATTACGGTAACTGATAGACTTTGTGCTTATTATCAAGTGATGGTTAGTTTTGTAATGAAAAGCAATTTGATGGAATCCATTTTGTTCACTCAAAGACTCTCCGTTCATAGAGAACTCTAGGATGAACAGAAAATACCACAGTAAACACATTCATAAGACAGATGGCCTGTTAAATAGATGCACACGTAGAACAAACAATGTCTAACCTGACGCTGAATCCTGTAGGAGTCTGAGTCTGTGAGGAACAGGAATATCAAAACAAAGTGGCTTAGACTGACCAACAACAGGCAGCAGGAAACGATTGACTTTTGGAAAGAAAATCAAAATATCATGATTGTTTCCTAAAATTGGTGCTCATAAAACAAACAATTAAGAAAAAAGCAAAATTGTATGTACCTTGCACAGCAGGGGAAGTAGTTGTATACATTGTTTCAGTTGGGGAGATGTCTAAAACCAACAAATATTGTAAAGGATGTAAATCCACATAGTGCATGCATTTATTGTATTTAGTCTTTGTTTTAAAGGTGACGTGTGTAACTGATCAGCGCACAGACTGAACAGCAACATACAAAGTGTACAAAGTGTCATAATTAAAAAAATTGCTACAATTACACGTTAAAATAGAGAGAAGCGACAGTAAACATTCTCAACAAAGTATGGGGGTCTTTATCATTGAAAGCCAGTAATAAAAAACTAATTATTATGATGATGTTGTAGCCTACAAGGACATCTACTTATGAGTTTGTGACCAAATGAAAGTAAAAAAATAAATAAATACTGTAAACTGAATAACTTACATGTAGGCTGTACATCAAGAATTGAATCTATTGTAAAAAGAAGGAACATTTTCACATTGTGAACATTATGACTCAAATACATCGTTTCAGTTTTTTATGCACTTCCACAATTATTCTTCCAGAAAATGGTGATTTGTCAAATCGGTTTCTGATTGGTCAATGCAGAAAAACATCTGTGCAACATTCATTGCATTGCTCTGTTATGTCAGAAGCGGTATCTTCTACAAGTAGTGTGGCACTTAGTTAAAATATTTTATTCAATATTTGTGTCCTTAATTTTTTTTTTTTTTTATAAAATCACTACGGTTACAACTAAGGGGTTGTGCTGTGTGTTGTACCCAACAGTGCTCTTTAGCATTTAAAATCCATTTTTACATTTAACATACTAAAAAACACTAATAAAAGCTACTAAACTATTTCACATCAATGAAGAAAAAATTCTGACATACCATAATAATTTGAGTATCCCACAGCTGTGATGTCCATTGTTAAAAAAAACACAGATAAAATAAATAAATAAAATAAGAACAATTAGATTTATAAACTTCAATAAAGGTCCAAATTAATTTGGCTTACTAATGGGCCACTGGTTATGTAATGCTGGAATATGAAAACAAATTTAAAATAAGACATGCATATATTTAGGACATTTAAGACAAGGAAAGTTTACTTTTTCTGACCACTTTACACATACATAAAAATATGTATAAAGCATATTTTTACTGTTAGTAATAATTTATTAACTTACCCAGATAATTACACACATCGCTTTTACTAAAAAGCTTGCTAAAATTATTTGTTAAAACATTCTCAACAAAGTATGGGCATCTTTATTATTGAAAGCCAATAAGAAACCAAATTATTATCATGATTTTGTAGCCCACAAGGACGTATAGATGGTTTACTTTTGAGTTTGAGACCAAATGGAAGTTAAAATCAGAAAATACTGTAAATAGAATAAGTTACACAAATCTTGGTAAACAGGAAATATATCTGAAAAGAAGGAACATTTTCAAATTTTGAGCATGACTCAAATATTGCACTCCCACAATTATTTCTTCAGAAAACAGAGAACTGTCAGCATTTCAGTCAAGCTAAAAACACCTGTGCAATGTCCATTTCATTGCTCTGTTACTTTATGTCAGAAGCTAGATCTTCTAGAAGTAGTATGGCACTTAATTAAAATATTTTTAGATGAATATTTGTGTCTAAATAAAATCAATAAGGTCACAACTTAACGGGGTTGTGCTGAGCGTTGTGCCTAACAACGCCCTTTAGCATTTAACATGCATTTTTACATTTTAAAAACTAAAAACACTAATCAATTAAATAAAAGCTATTTCAATTCATTAACAAAGAAAAATACTTTGACGTACCATCGTCAATATGTTCCCTTCCTTCCTCTTCGGGTTTCTCAGCAACTTCTACTTCCTCTTCCTGTGGCTTAGTAACAACCATAGAGGTGAGGGAAGTGACAAACTGGTATTTTAGGGAGAGTTTTAGAGCTTCTTTCTTTTCATCCTCTTTCTCTTGTCCTTTAAGAAGCACCCTGAGACAGAAATACAGAGAGAAGACAGATAGACATATGAGGTTTGCCATTAGTTTGCCGCTAAGTTTTGATTCCTTTTGTATGGAATTGTTCCTCCTTCCAGGCATATACACTTGGGATATTGAATTTGACCTAAGTCATGATGTCCAGGACAATCTTGAGAAGTATAATCTGTGAAATGGTATGTTTTTGACCTCTCATACTATTCACAATTTTAACTTGATCATTAGGATGGATTCTAACAGTTGTTAACATTAGTGTGTGTCTATATATATATATTTGTGTGTGTGTAAACATATATAGACCCAAATGCATAAACTTACTGTCTCTCCAGAAGCTGCTTCACTGTAAGGTAGGCCCACAGTCTCTGCATGAAATCTTCATTCTCAGGAGGGACATCACTGGGGTCTTTTGTCATTATAGTGTCCTGATACTTCACATTACTGCCTTTCTACTCAGAAATAATAACACTAGTGAATATTTTGATTGGGAATGCTGTCAGTAACATTTTCAGAAAAAAAATGTTTTCAAAACAAAGTGGTCAGTATTCTAAACTTTTAAACAATTGACCAATATACTGAGTTTGGACTGCTGAAAATAAAATGATCTTACTGATACTGCGATGACTTCAGTGGTGAAACTCTCCACACTGTTGTCTGTGATTTGTCCTGACACCACAATCTCAGAGCCATTGAAGTACAAGCTAAAGCTGGTCTTGGTAAGGTTTGTCCCTCCTGGGTATTTAAGTTGAATATCAGTGAGGAGAGGGACCGCAACTTCATCATAGAAGCCCTAAAAATCAAACAGACTTTAAATGCGCTCAAACAAAGTTCAGCATTGAGGATGAATTCACAGCTGATTGTCTGTAGGTCACATGCAGCTGTAGATCAGCGTCCGAATCTTCATAAATCCTACGAGCAACTCCACCATTTTCCAGTGACATCTTTGTCAGGAAGTCAAAGTTTACATCATATCCAAAGCGTGTTGTTCTATTCATTAAGTTGACTGAATAAACTAATGCTATGATAAAACACCCTTTAGCTTGTGTTTGTATGTATCAGTGTTTCTGTGTCTGTAGTGGGATCTCCATCAGTCAGCAGGATCAGGATGGAGGCTGTTCCCTCTCGTGGATGTCGACTGATCATGTCCACTCCTGCTAGAACTGCAGCGTTTATGTCTGTGGCTGAAGGAAGACCAAACATAGTTGTGTCACTGTGAGGTTCAACTTTCTTACTCCTTATGTAGCATTAGTGCTGTAACTCACCTCCTCTATCGCTGATCTCCTTCACGAAAGATTTCGCATTCTCCAGGTTTGTCTCAGTAGCTTTGAGGAGTTCACTTTTCCATAAGCTAACTTCACTGTCAAATGTGATCAATCCAAAGTGGTCGTCCTCATCAAGATCACTCAAAATCCTTAGCAGTGCCAAACGAGTTAAAAACCATAATTTGGTGTTTTTGAGTTATTTGAGTGATCAGCAATAGACACATTAGGCAGTTTCATATCTTTTGTCTTATTCTCTTACTGACAAAGATAGGAGCCAAATTGGTCATGATAATAATCCATTGGTCAATTAGGTCTAAAAACCTTTACAAACAGGTCTGCTTATAAACCCTGTATATTATAGGCTGGCAGTTAAAGTGTTGTTCTATTCATTAAGTTGACTGAATAAACTAATGCTATGATAAAACACCCTTTAGCTTGTGTTTGTATGTATCAGTGTTTCTGTGTCTGTAGTGGGATCTCCATCAGTCAGCAGGATCAGGATGGAGGCTGTTCCCTCTCGTGGATGTCGACTGATCATGTCCACTCCTGCTAGAACTGCAGCGTTTATGTCTGTGGCTGAAGGAAGACCAAACATAGTTGTGTCACTGTGAGGTTCAACTTTCTTACTCCTTATGTAGCATTAGTGCTGTAACTCACCTCCTCTATCGCTGATCTCCTTCACGAAAGATCTCGCATTCTCCAGGTTTGTCTCAGTAGCTTTGAGGAGTTCACTTTTCCATAAGCTAACTTCACTGTCAAATGTGATCAATCCAAAGTGGTCGTCCTCATCAAGATCACTCAAAATCCTTAGCAGTGCCAAACGAGTCTAAAGAAAAACACTCCTGTCAGCAGATCTGGAAGTTATTCTTTCTCCATTACGACTGCATACTACCAGACATGGACAGTTTTGTTACTAACTTTAACAAAACAACGCCAAACTGATTTCAATAGAGGAACCTTTGTATGTTTAACAGTGAATAATCTTCTACAAGACTTTGACTATCCACCAGTATCCACTTTGGGATGCTATGAATTACCACAGATAATCATTGTGAAATTTTTTTACCTGGTCTATTTTTCTGCCCTGCATAGAGCCACTCCGGTCAATGATAAACACCACATTTTTGGGAATACGTGGAACATCAGAGGGTGCAAAGTAGTGGACAAAATAGCCATTTGATACCTGAGAGAACAGAGAAGTAAGTACATATGAATATCACCGATGCCTTTTTACATGGCCAAGGTCATGATTTTTGCCAAAATCGTAACATATTTTACTCTTTTAAAGCATGTTATTGAAAATGTACCATGACTTCTCCTTTGGGATTTCGTCTCTCAACATCGTATGTTACAAGCAGGTCTCCATTCAACCCATTTTCTCCACAGCTTTTACACTTGGTCTGTTGATCTCGTGTGGGGTAGAAGGTCACCCATGCCTGAAATAATCAGTTTGGTCATCTGGTATCTTTATTTGAAGTGTATGAGCATATTGAGAGCATCTAAACTGTGTTTTAACCCTCATTTAAGCTCTTACGTCTTTGTCTGCTCTGGTGGTTTTGATGGCATTGGCCAGATCACCGGTGCTCAAATCTCCTTTCACCTCCAAGAAGGAAATTCCTGTTTTCTCTTGGATGTGCACATCCATCTGATGCAAGTAAAATAAACATTATCTCTCTTTCCATCTAAATTGATTATCCATCTCCTCCTTGTATCTTCTTCTACCTTGAAGTCAGCCACCGGCTGCATCGGTTGGGCATTGATGAGTAGCTCATATTTGCCGAGGCGGCGCTTTAGCAGTTCCTCGTAGGTCAACTCAAAGGTCACTTTACTAAAAGCAGCCACCGTCACTGAAGTTTTAAAGTCCTCTAAAGTCCTTCCAACAGATCTGAAATAGAAAAAAATCCCTGCATATTACTAAACATGCTATAAATACATATTTTATGGACCTAATTTTAATAAATTCCAGTACTTGACCAGTCCAGCACTTTGTCCTCGAGATACTGCTTGATTGTATTGCTGCTGAGCTTCTTCTTTTCCCTTCACAACCCCACCATATGTTTTTCCCTCTATAACCCTATGGAGAAATGAAAAGACTAAAAAGACTTAAAGGTCAACTTGTTACCCAACTAAGGCTTGTCTTCATAGCTGCTGGGTTTAGGTTTAAAGAGTTTTCAGACACGTTCAGAACATTTGTAATTAAGAGTATTGAATTGACCCACATTCTGAATTTGCTGATGAAGGCATTCTTGGGAATCTTTACCTCAAACTGGATCTCTTGAGATTCATTCAGTATGTTCGCAACACGGCTTGTGATGACTTTTTTTAGCGTAGCGACTGGTGACCGTGGAGTTAATGTAGAAGCTGTATATATTCACATTTTGTTTCTGATAAGACACCAGAAGGTACTCTTAATATATGATTAGACATCGTTTTAACTCAAACCACGGGTTTATAATGAGGCTGACTGAACTGAGCGTAAGCAGCCGTTCACACACGTTCTTGTGTTTAAAATGCGAAACGCAGCACTGAGGAATGGGTAAAAACAACAGCGATTCACTGATTTGAAACTGACACTGACGAGCTATGCTGCGTGTTAGAAGGTGAGCGTCTTTGAACTTGATAAAGCATCTTAAAAGGTGCAGTCTTGACAGCGAGCGGTGCGATGCTCAAGCGAGTTGCCAGATTGAGGACTCGAAACGAGAACAAGCGCAATTGACAATGGAAGGTGACGAGCCTTACAAGTTGATGAGCTGATCTATCCTCGTTTTAATATGCCTCTGGTCTTAGAGTTTTTTAGATTGATGCCGAGGCTTTTTAGGTCGGCTAGAATCTGCGATGTCAGGCCCAGTTCATTTACTGGCTTTCATGGCTGCGATACGCTGTTTTCCGCTCTCTGGCAACTCGGGGTGTTGAAATATTATTGATTAAACTGACAGTGGGCGGAATCACACAGACCAAAACAAAAACAGGCATTCCGACAAAGTTGAATAGCTGGCTTTAGCATTAGATACTGTTAAGCTTGTATATTTGTGGGTTCTTACTTCTATCAGCATTTGATAAGTTTCTATTAACCGTTTCCCAGTTTCAGAATTCAGAAGTATTTAGAATTTTCCCACAATAAAATACATGGGCAAAAGCATTTTGTTTAATGTTTATTATGTTGAATATTTTTTGCTTTTAAATTTCAAGAATTCCACAATAGCATATTTTGGAAAAACAACTTTTTTCAACTTCACTTTTGAATGGATTCATTTAATAGTGGGCATGTGGCCACACTAGGAAGTTGCAATTAAGCAGCCTATTTGGATTTTTAGCTATTTTTTCTCTTAATTTATACAGTACAACACATGAAACACATTGCAACATTGCAACTTGCCAACATGACAGTTGCTATTGTCCTTGTGACAACTAGCCCCAGTCTCCCCTATATGCATTCAGCTTCAGGGGTGGGTGTTTTTAGGGTGTTTCTATTGATAACAATACTTGCTTAGCAAACCTTGGGCCTTATTATTTCTGAAAGAAGCATCTGGATGATCTCTGTTACTCCCTGTTTTGGGTGGTTTCTGTCAGTTATTAACAGTGACTCCTTAATCCCAGGTGAATTATTATAACCAGTTGCCATGATACATGAAACAGAGCTGCTAAACAAATTCACTTGGTTACAGTGAATGATCCAGACAGGGAACTTTGCACCTGGCAGTTTCCTGGTTACAGTTTTCTCATCCATTACAGCAGCTCTGTTAATTATGAGCACACAAACATCGTTTTACTACTGAGGTTTTCTCCCACAAAGCCAACTGCTGCTTGTGTGTGTGTGTGTGTGTGTTTTGATTGTCAGCTGGGAGGGGTCAGTCTCTCATACACTCAAAGGCAACAAAGTCATAGGAGGCTTTATTTTTTTAGTGCTTCAAAAACACCTTCGAGGGTCAATGACAAATAAGGATGGATTTAATGTCTAATTTTAAGTTGTATTACTATCAAGTAACAAGTACTAAACCAGTTAACAAAAACGTGTTCTTGTGGTGCATTCAAGTCCTCCAGGGAAGTTCGTATTTACGACGTCAGGTGCGTTCAAGTCACATTGGTCGGAACAAGATGGCGATCTAACATTTCTACATAAAATTCAACGATTTTTTAAAAACTCTACATCTACAAAATGATGAATAATGAATGTGCATCATTGTGTTTTTGCTTTTTTTCCTGTTTTTATTCCATTTATGAAGGTGATGTAAACTGAATCATTATATATTCTATAGTAATTATACAATATATCATTTTGTATATAGGCCTATGGTTTTATTGTACATGACCAAAAAAAATCATTTTATTAATTTCAACAAATTTACCGTAAATACAGACGCTGCATCCATTGTATGCGACATGTTTTCTCACCGACACTCCCCCAACTCGGAAACTCGGAGTTTAAGGGAAATTACGAGTTTCCCACGCGTAATAATGACTTTGTGGTCGACTTGAACGCACCATAAGAACGTTTTGCTAACATTCCCTTTTTTGAACGTTAGAGAACGCACTGAGGGAATGTTACATTTTGTTGTTTTGCAAGCGTTATGGGAATTTTACGTTTGAATGTTCTCTAAACTGGAGTGGAAATGGAGTTTACATGCAATAAATGAGAACAATACTCATTGCCCTAATATGTATCGGAAATCAGGCATACCAGGCAGAGCAGTAGGTAAATTCAAGTACACACCTACTAACTCGCGTTACTTGTAATGCGTTACCCCCAACACTGATTACATGTATACTATAATATATTAAAGTACATACCCTCATTATATGATATGATATTATTAGTACAAAAACAGCACATTAAACGGAAAACAAAACAAGAATTAAATGAAATTGTTATGCAATATTATATATAATTATATGCTAGTTTTTTTTTTTTTTAATGCTGTATTGTCAACAAGTAGCATGTACAGTGCCATATCTCACTATATAACAAAAACATTTCACATGCCTCAACAAGAAGGAACTAATTATATGCTAGTTGCCTCAAAAGTATTTAGGCTGTCAGTTAACACAGATAAACAAGGATGTCTGACTCTGAGATGATAAAAAAATGAAAATCTTTTTAAAATCTAGTTTAAAAAAACATGTACCACATGTATGTTTATGCCATTTTAAACAAATCAACGAACAAACAAAAATGATTTGATGTTCTATTTCAAGTGGTAGAACTATCAAGTAACGAGTACTAAAATACACATACATTTATTTTTAAAGACTTTGCAAAGTCATTAAGTGGCCTGAACAAAACATGCATTTTCAGTGTTTTATGTTACATTATTTGTCATTTTGCTCAATAACGTTTAATCAGCTAGTGTTTCAGTGATTTTAGTGGATTAATGAAGTTTATTTTTTATTTAACATTTTTTTTTACATATTTTAAAGACTGATAATAATTCCAGAATTATTTTTGAAATACAAATAATAATTATATTTAAGGCACTTCTATGTATGGATATACAAAATTGAGTTTTGAGAATTCATTGAAATTTTGCATAAGTAATGCATGTCAAAAAAAGAAAAAAGAAAAGTTAATTCAAATGCTAATACAAAAATTATTTCAAGATACAAGCAAGCAAGATAGTGATCTGTTCATAACCTGGAATATGTTTGTGTTTTTAGGCTCTAAACTGCAGTGTGAGAGATACAGAGCCTATCACACCACTTGATGTGGTCTGTGGTCCTGTGTATGTGTGTTCTTTGGCTGTAAAGCCAACATTGTGCTGTCAAGGGGAGGACTGCAAACCGTGTTTGTGGATTAGCATCCAGCTGAGTATTATTCCAGATCTCAAAGATGAGAAGGACAGAGATACTGAGAGATCAGAATATGAAGAGGGGAGCAGTGGTGAGTCCCTACAGTAGCACTACATTACAGTTGTTGGCCTAACAATGGTTTATGTTAACACTAACCTTTCTAATTTCAGGGGACTGGGATTCAGGATGTGTTTCCATACCAGATGACACATCAGAAAGTCAAAGTGTAAGTGTTTTGTTCTTTCATAAAAAAATATTTGTAAAAGTTCAAATTTCATCTATAACATCTTACTCTTTTTAACAGAAAGAATACTCTCTCTGTGAAGACCAGCTAGATCAAGGTAGACCAAGTGAACTTAAAAACTCCAAATATTTCCCTTAATTTGTTTATTAGTGCTAATGGACTTAAGCAAACTGATTTTCTCAAACTGTATTTGCTTTTGCTGAAAGACAGCAGTGGATTCGCCATTATTGAGTACGTTTACATGGACAACAATACTCCGATTTTAATACGATTAAGACAATACTCTGATTAAGAATCTACCATGTAAACAGAGATTTTTGATTACCTTAATCCAGCTAAAGTCATAATCGAAGTAAACAGAAATTGAATTAAGACATGTGGACTATTCCTATTTTGGTAGCATTATTGAAGTGCAGAATAGACATGTAAACACCTTAATCACATTATTACCGTTGTGTAGGACTTTTCGCCGCATTTTGCGACAGGATACACACACGGCAGTGCTCAACCGTTTGACGGCAAATAAAAGAGCTTCAACACCCGCCGTCGTCTGTATGCACGTACAAATAATTAACTGCACTTGACGCTTTCATACAATTAAAAGTGAAACACCCAAAACTGTACATAGGGGACGTCGGATGGCGTCACGTGGGGACGTAATGACGTGTGCCATTAATCGAACTATGTACTATAACATTTAAAACGGGAACATGAAATATTCTAAAAGCAACTCATGTAAACACCTTAATCATAATATTGGCTTATTTAGAATAAGGTAAATAATTAGATTACTGATGTTCACATGTACAACTAGGTAACCATTAATTATTTATTTTTTTATAATTTTTTTTGGCAGTGTGTTCCTTACCAGACCTAAAAGACATAAAGCAGTGTAAAGGTATGTGTTGATTGTATTTTAACATTTTTCTCATTTTAATCTATATTTAAAAAAAAGGCTTTCCTCATTTAATCCCATACAAAAACGTATTTCCTAAAGTGCTAAAATGGACCTTTATGAATAGTAAAACATAAATTCCTCAATGGTTCTTTACAGTACATTTGGTTTAGCAACTTTTCCTGCTGTAAAAAAACAATGTGTAAGGTATTTGAGTTGAGTTGACTTACAGTGCACAGCATAAATGAGTACACCTCCTCTGAATAAATATAAAAGATGTATTTTCTTAATGATCACTAATATAATTCATGGAAAGATGGCAAAATTGAAACATATTAAACATATACTTAATAAAAACAACAAAATATATGCCAATATTTTCTGTAAGATAAGTAAATTAGACAATTTTGTTTAAATGAAGGATTGCAGAAATGAGTACACCCGAGATTTAATTCAGAAAATGTATAATATTCTAGTACTTAGTATGCCCTCCAGAACTTAAAGTACACTGCTCTGACACTTCTTGGCACTGAGAGAATGACCTCCTTATATGCTCTGGTCTTTAATGGGGAGTTTTGCTCAGCTCGTCTCTACAGAAACCCCCACAGCTGCTCAAGAGCATTGAGATTGAGTGAAATACATGTCCACTGAAGGATTTTCACCTTGGGAGAATGAATATATTCATTGTCATGCTGAAAAAATGCCCAATAATGCAGGGAATGATGGCAGGGTAGCATCGTCTGTTTCAAGTTTTTGTATTACATCACACAGTAGTGTGTGAATTCATGCCAGCATTGACTCTTTTTCTAGCAAAAATTCACTCATCGCTAAATGAAAACTTAAAAGTGAAGACCTGATTATTTCAGGAGCCTTATCGCAAGTCCATTGTTTTTGAATGTTGGTGCTATTTCTGCTATATTTTCACACTTAAAACAATAATTTGCTATTCCTTTTGTACCATTGTCCTCTTTTATGCTAAGAAATAAGTCACCTGGCAGTTCTCTCCCAAGTGGTTCCACTGCTGCCAGCATTAAGTCTGAGTATGATTCAGTGGGCTATATAACACTTTTAATTGTCAGGAAATTACTTGTCTTTAAAAGTTTTGGTTCAATATACTTACCTGTTGATCAAAAATAGCCTTAAACCTATATACTTTTTTTTAGTTAGTAACTTTCAGGAGGGTGTACGAATTTTTGCAACACAAAATTGTATCACTTTGATATGAAAATCTTATTTTGCTGAATAATTTTGGCATTCTTCTTTGGTAATCGATCAAGCAGGCTTGTTGGAACATTACATCAAAGAACCCTAACATGTCTTCTAAGTAAAGAGTAATTGCTGAATTTGTTAAGTTTTAGAGGGGGTGTACTCATTTATGCTGTGCACTGTATATGGTGCTTTATTGAAAAAGAGCCTGAAAGATAAATTACTGGTTACATGATAGGTTCTTTGGATCAGACATTTGGTTTCTGGGTTTAACTAGATGCTTTTCTAAAGAGAAATAAGAGAATAAGACTTTTCTTTTGTAAAAAAAAAACAATTTGACATCAGACGCCCTTATTTGTAGGATAAAATACCATAGTGGATGAGCAAATTTCATTTTATACTCCATGTTTCCTTTTTTCATTTTTAGGTCCCAGGGTCTCCATTAAAAGAGAGGAGAGAGTGGTTAAGGTGCTATTAGCCGATGAGGATGAAAGAGCTCCTGAAGGCCTGTCGCTGTGTATGAAACGTGGAAGAGAAGGGAGATGCTCGGTCAGTGAACTCACACTTTACTTGTGTCCATATAACACACAGCCTGAGGGCTCATTACAGACAAACAGTAGACTGTACAAACCAGTTTGTGTTTTTCATCAGCTGCCTTTTCTTGGTAACTTACCATACCTTTTCTTCTCTCAGCTTATGCCAAATAACATCATTCCACTGGAGTCAATCACATACTGCATGTGTTTGCAGGTACTGTGCTTTTCAAACATGCACACATTCAAAACAATGCCTGCTAAAGTATATTTCTACATTATTTTAATTTGCCCTGTTTGTGTGCATATGCTTCAGGCATGGAAAAATGATTCAGTTCGTGCGGAAATCTGTCCCTTTGAACAAAATAAAACAGGTAAAACCACAATAATATTCAGAGACCCCATGACTTTTCCAGTTGTTTGTGATTTACTGGATAAGAATTGTATGAAATTATATATGTATTTTTAAATATTATGTTTTAAAGTAATATTTAAACAATTTATTTAAATAATATTTTTAATATTTTTTTATTTCTACCCTATAAAATAACTAGGAAAAATGTATATTCATTATAATATTTCATTTATTCACATGAAAATTGGTTTATTTTAATATTTGGTTTGTGTCAGATTTTAAATCATTTTTAAAAAATAATCTAGTGCCTCCTAATGGGCCCCCTAGTGGTTCTTTGGTTGAGAACCACTGATCTAAGATCTACACTTTTCTTAAAAATAAAAGTTAGCATTAGTGCCTTGGATAAGGAGGATGTTCAACACCATCTTGATCTATTTTGTCTTCCCACATTTTTTTTTTTTTCCACTGGCAGAATTTAATGCCAATGTCCTGAGCAACATGTCAGTGTCTTTAGCCCACATCAAAACAAATGATGGTGAGCCGGTGCTAAGCTGGAATTTAACAGCGCCCTGCAGGATAAGAGCTGAATCTTGGCCGTGTCAGCTCGAGGCAGATGGAAAATGCACAGAAGTTGAAGGATTCAGACAGAAATGCTGTAATGATTGGACAGAAAACAGCACAGTACTATGGGTAAATATACATTTCGGGTATATGTATTTTCTGTGTAGACCTTAGAATAGACAGAATATTTAATTTGACACAAATGGAATGAGGCTGTGAGGAAGTAGAATTACTGCAACAGTGGGATATAAAACGTCTAACACCACACTGAAATCTAGGATTTTTTCATTGAAACCCGGAAATAAATGCTTTTAGAATAAAATAAAAAAAGTACAACAAAGTATGGAAGCCCGTTTCCACCACAGGATAAATAAATAAATACATACTGTACATGTAATTCTGATTTTTTTTTCTATCTCACAATTGCAAGTTAACACCTCACATTTCTGACTTTTCTCTTAGAATTCTGACTTTATAAAAAAAAAAAAGTTGGAATTGTGAGATAAGAAAAATTGCAATTACCTTTTAAGTGTTTTTCATTCCATGGTGAAAACGGGCTTCCATATCAAAAATACATTTTGACGTGAAATAAATATTTAAAGCAAGAAAAATAAAGTTTAATCATTAAAGCAAAAGGGCAACATAACAATACAAGAATTTCTGGTGTTATTTCATTTTTAATCAAACTTTTTAGTAATAATAAATTAGTAATGACAATGACAATTTTGTGTAATTTAAATTTGAAAGAATGCAAAATAGAAGCATTTTCACTAGTGATCTCCCTTTCACTAGTCATTTTTGGACTTTTGAAACGTAATGACTGACTCCCAGGTCCACAACAAACTAAATGTTAAATGGACCATTGTTTGCTTTCATTTTAATTTACGTGAAATTAAATACGCCGTCTACTCCGACTGAGGTCAAAGCTAATAATTGTTTTTCCAGTTGGTTAAAAAGCAGTTTGCATTAATGATATTTGCTCTCTGCAGGCATCTGGGAAATTTGTGAATATCAGGTCTCAGAATCACCAGCAGCTCTGCGTGATGGTATGATACCATCTGCCTTTTTGATTTCTTCCTTTCAGCATTCATCATAGTCATTTAGTTCAAACAGACATTGAACATGGTAAACATTCATCTTTGTCTGTGTCTTTGTCTGCAGCTTAAAGTGGATGGAAAGATTGTGCGGTACTGTCAACACCCCTGTAAGTGTGTGATGAGAAAAACCCATCTCATTTATATCCTGGTTAAAGCTGCCATTCATTGTCATTTGATCACACTGATATTCGATGTACTAAAACTAACATTTACTATACTGGATTAATTATGGCAGATGTTATCAGTTATCAGTTTCATTGTTCATTTCATGTTGTTTTAGTGGAGCGACAGTACTGGAGCCTTCTTGTTCTTCTGCCGCTGGTCCTTCTTTGTCTGACTGCTTTTGGAGTACTTCGTCTTGTGAACAAACTCAAATGTAAGTCTTTGCTATCTACGGCATTTCTTTGTTTATATGGTAAGATGTTTTCTTCTCAGCAGCAAAGAAATTACAACACAATGTATGAGATGATTTATATTCCCAACTAAAATCCCCATTATTATTATTATTATTATTATTCTGTATATATTTTAATTACACACTGTATATATTTTAATTATTTAGCAAAGACACATTAAATTATATTAGATTTAATATTGGATTAAATATCAAATCAATCCGAGCAGCTGAGTCCTTAACCATCTTCAAGAAACGACTAAAAACACATCTGTTCCACCTTTATTTGACCCTCTAACTCTAACACTTTCTATTCTATTTTAATTCTACTTTAACCATATTTATCTTCCTTTGGATAAAAGCATCTGCTAAATGACTAAATGTAAATGTATATTATATATGCATTATATATACTTTAGTATTTAATCTTGTTAATAGATTAATATTAATGTAAGATCAATCAATATTTATTTATTTGCCATTATTTTGAAAAATCCATAAAAAATTGCTAGAGACTGATAACTACAGTGCTATCAAAGTACAACTGAACAGTCTTTTTGTTATTATTTTATATGATTTAAGATGGTGAAAGAGAGACAGTTGAGGGTTTTTGTTGAGATTTTTGAGACGTTGACCAGATTCTTTTTGCATGTCTCTGCTCTCAATGGCTCTATTCATGTGTGTCTGTGAATAGCACATATTTTTGTGGTGATCTGTGTAGAACACATTTCTTCCATCTCAGCATGCTCTTTGTCTTTTTCAACTCCTCCTTCTTCATTTTGTGTTCTTTCACCCATCTTACTCTTGTCTAGGTCTTATACTCTTTTTAGTGCCTTTAAAGGAAAGGAAATTTACTCACCCTCAGGCCATCCATGTAGATGAGTTTGTTTCTTCAACGGAACAGATTTGGAGAATTTAGCATTCCATCACTTGCTCACCAATGGATCCTCTGCAGTGAATGGGTGCCATCAGAATGCGAGTCCAAACAGCTGATAAAAACATCACAATAATCCACAAGTAATCTACATGTCTCCAGTCCATCAATTAACATCTTGTGAAATGCTTCTGGCCAAAATATGAGTTCATAATCCCAAATAACGCTTCCTCCAGTGAAAAAGTCCATCCCTGTTGTCCTCACATCAAAATCCACCCACATATATGTTTAGAACTGTTTTTGCTTGACGTGTGCATATTTCACTCCTGATTCAGATGAGAGGAAAGAAAGCAATATTATGGATAAAGGACTTGAATTTTAGATGGAAGCAATGGTTTGAAGTAAAAAAACCAAATATTCTTAATGAAACAAATGAATTCACTTAAATTATGGATTAGTTTCTTACAAACATGCAGCTTTTCGCTTCACAAGATGTTAATTGATGGACTGGACTCATGTGGATTACTTGTGGATTATTGTGATGTTTTTATCAGCTGTTTGGACTCTCATTCTGATGGCACCCATTCACAGCACTGGAGCAAGTGATTTAATGCTAAATTTCTCCAAATCTGTTCCCATGAAGAAACAAACTTATCTACATGTTGGACGGTCTGATAGTGAGTACATTTTCAACACATTTTTATTTTTGGGTAAACTATTCCTTGAAGTATTATAGAAAGTCTTCTTCACTGATGAGATTTTACAATCTTTTATGTCCCTCTCACAGGGTCGCTTAGCGAATGGGACAGAATGTGTCATTCTCAAGGGATTCAAGGTGTTTATTTACAGTCATTTGTGTGTCTTATTATTAAGAAGACTAATTAATTAATTTACCTTATGATAATCTCATACATGATGATCTTCATTTCTCTCTCTAGATATGAGGGGACAGGTGTTGTTGCTCCATTCCTCTGCCACAGACCCACAGTTGGTGTGTAAGCTGGGCCAGTTGCTCTCTGAGCTGGGTTTCAGAGTATTTCTCGACCTGTGGAACCAAACAGAGCTCGGTTCTTGCGGCCCAGCAGCGTGGCTCCACTCTAAGCTCGATCACATCCAGAAACATGGAGGGAAAGCCCTTCTGGTGCTTTCTCCGTCAACACTGCAGAGAGCCGAGTTGTACTGGAACATTGCAGTGGAAAGACAAAGCAATCCTGCCACATACTCCTCAGATATGCTGGCTTCGGCATTGGGCTGCATCTTTGCTGACCGTAAGAAGGGCTGCGGTGCTCAGCGGTTCGTCCTTGTGCAGTTAGACTTTGATGAACTTCCCATCAATGAGGAGCATGACATGCCGAAGCTGTTGAGGGGCCTGCTGCTTTATAAACTGCCCTCACAGTCTCAGGGATTACTTATGGAACTATGTCTGGAGAACCCGACTAATGTGAGCGGGAAGTTGAAGAAGATGTGGTGGATGAGAAAGGCACAGAGGAAGTTGGCCCAAGGAGTGCAGAACATTTTGTCGAGGGTGAGGACTGATTCCATGCTCACACAATCTGATTTACTCAGCTTAGACATGGAAGACACGGAGGAAATAATTATTCTCAAAAATGAACAGCACTGATGTGTCATTTACTCCCTCATCACACCAGAACATTGTTTAGATTGACAGTCACAGTCTGTCACAATGGACTATGGACAGATTACATGAACAATAAAAATACCAGAAGGTAATACCATGTCCAAAAAAACATGGTGTTGCCATGTTTTTATAAGAATGCTTGGAAATGCCAAGGAAGTTTAGGTATGTGCCATCACATCATGAAGTACCTCGGAGTACTATGTGAATATGGTATAATATAGACATTATTATACTATAATCTCCTGGGATTGCTTAAGAAGGAAGTCTGCATGTAGGACTTCCAAGTATAAATGAAGAAATTCCACAGTACAGATGCTACAGGAAGTAAAGAAACTGAAAACACTAAATATGCAAATTCCCAAAATAATGATAATGATAATAATATTCATACTATCTATAGAAATAGATATGCATTTACTCCTATATTTTCATTGGTATTTGGAAGGAAATTACCTCTATCTTACTGTTTTCATCTAAGCTTTTAGGGGATGGAAATAATGGCTTTTGGCTAATATTTATACACAAATATGTAAATATGGCTATACATATATTTTATATATATATGACTGTAATATATTTTTTAAACTGAAAGTTTGTAATATATGGTACATTTGAAATGCTCTGGTTGTACTCAAATACAGTTTTACACTTATGAGTTGTCTGTCATGGTCTGATGAGTGGAATATAGGATAGATGGAGAATATATATAGGCTTATATTGAAGTGGATAGCCAATTAGAGTCTAAAAAAAGAAGCTCAGGAGGGGGAAGCATAAAAATATAGTAGCCTACACCAGACCCACTGCAGACTAAAAATAAACGCTGTTATTTGAGAAGCGCGACGTCCTCAGCTGCTGCTGCGCTGCTTTTGTGCGCCCATGACCGAAGAAGCTAGAAACACAAAACGTGGCCCGAAAGTTTCCTTCTAGTCAGGTATAATGAATCTAAATAATAATTCTTCCACTTTAACTCGTTGTGCATTGTATAAAGCAGACACAGGTGTCATTACACTGATAAGTCACAGAATGAGTCTGAAGCAGGTGGAATGTGTTATTTTTTTCTGCGCTGGAACCTTTTGTACCATATTATGTGTATAGAGATTTCTGAGCTGTGTATACATTTGTATTTCAGCTACCAATATATATATATATATATATATATATATATATACACACACACACACACACACACACACACACACGCTAATACAGATAAAATGTGGGTAAATAGCTTAGCAACTCAGTGAGACTACTATGGCGAAGACTTTCACTTAATATTCATGGACCAGTTTATCACCATTGAAAGACTGTCATGCTACGTCACCAGGACCTTATTAATGTTCATGAGTCAAGCCTTTAACATCAAACTTTTACCAGTCGATGCTGGAATATCCTAAGCAATATGTATGAAGCACGCCTTCGCCATAGTAGAGTTTGTCATGTTTCCGTCAGCGGCGCACAGGGGGATCTGTTGGGTGTGTGTGATTGCGTCCTGAACCCGAAAAGCAACAACTTGAAAAGAGCTGGTTACTGACAGCCCAACCATCACCCTCCCGTCGGTGAGTATTTAAAATACGAATCCCATGCTGATCTTTTCTAAACATTTGCATTCTGCTTGTTGATTTAGTTTTATTGTGTTACGGTTTAGCATACATTCAGGTTGCATGATAACCCCTCTGCAACTTCAAATGATCATATTCATAATTATCTACTTGGCTTTAGGAGCTTGAATTGAAACCTGGAATTTGAATTGAAAATCTCATAGTATATTTACATAAATACTAATAAAGTAAACAAAATTAATCGATTTAAACTAAAAGTCTGTCAGTAAACAAGAAGAATGTATAATGTACAATAATAAAACGTAAAATTAGAACGATTAAAGTCATTTAATTTTAACAGAATTTTAAATATTATAACGCATAAGCAGCACTAGCAATTAAGCTAAGATCTTAAAATGATCATTCATAAAAGCAGTGGCTTGATTTATTTAACATAAACTAAATAAGTTATTACACCTTAAATGTTCTATTAACACAATTCATTTTTAATATAATATAACATGCATGATATTTTTACTGCTTCAGAAACATTTTTGTTGGATTTTGAAAATGAACTTTTTCCCCCCTGATTTTAAAGTCATCACATGTCATTCTAACAGTAAACTTTGTGGAAAGGGGGGATTGAAGCACTCAGCGTTAGTGCGAGAGTAATGTCACCCTCACGGATGTTCTTCCTGTCTGCTGTGCTCTGCGTGGCCCTTTTTCATCTAATTTTGGGTCAGAACTGCTCGGAGCACTGTAAAGCATGCGGGGGCCCAGAGAAAGACCAGTGCCTTCAGTGCCACACTGGATTCATCCTGCATGACAACCTGTGTGTGGGTGAGTGAGATGAACAGACTGTACGCTTCATTCACCTCATGGTCCATTTCATTCTGAAGTTCACTTCTACACTCTTACGCTGACAGATGTTGATGAATGTGGTACTGATCTGGATCAGTGTCTCGACAGCACGTACTGCTTCAACACCCATGGCTCTTATGAATGCAAAGGTCAGTGTGATTTACCCTCAACACACGGATCACCAGAGCAACACATTTTACACTTGCACTTCATTTGTGGTATAATACTGTATACATATTATTTTATTATTTGTCTTTTATCAGGATGTGATAAGGCCTGTGTTGGCTGTATGGGTGGAGGACCTGCCCGCTGTAGGAAATGTGCTGCTGGTTACAGATCATCAGGCATGAGATGCATAGGTGAGTTATTCCAGATAACTAGTCATGTATTGTGGTGTTTTTCAACCTTTGTAGTATAAAATATGGGTAGTTGTAATCATTTAAAAAAATTGAAATTCTAATTAAAAAATGTAATATGTTCTAGAAATGCTTTGCTAATGTTCATTATTTTTGAATGTTCTTTGAACCTTTAATTTTTGTATTTTATTTCATTAATAATAAAAAATTGAAATTCTAATTAAAAAATGTAATATGTTCTAGAAATGCTTTGCTAATGTTCATTATTTTTTAATGTTCTTTGAACCTTTAATTTTTGTATTTTATTTCATTAATAAACGTATTATTATTATTATTATTATTTATTTATTTGGTTATGTATATGTTAAGGGAATATTCCATTTTATCATTTTAAAAACGTTTTGGAAACGTTAGTTTTGAGTGTTCTCTGAACATTCTGAAACAAGTATTAACATTTAAAAAACGTTAGATGAATGTCCAGCTAAAGTGTTTCAGAAATACAGTAAAACATTCCATGAATTACGCATAAATAATGTTTTGGTGCTAATGTTTTGAGAACATTATTCAAAAACCAGATAACTCTTAATTGAACATTCTATTAATATTACTGGAGAAGCGTTTGTTCGTAACTTAGAAGTAACTTTGCCAGATTGTTAGCCAAAGTTCTGAGATTGTTCCTTGTTAGCTGGGTAAAAACAATACAGGCTGTAGACAGAAGGAAGTATTTTTAGGTAATTTGAGAACAGATATCTTGAATGTTTTTGTCAGCTGAAAATGTGTCATCTGGGATTGTTGTTGGCTAAATTATGCAAACATTGGCCTGACAAACATCAGCATTCTAAATGTAAAAATTAACAGAATTTTAAATAAAGTTGAACTTCTAAGTACGTTCTATGTTATTTTACTTTTATAAATCCCATCTTAGACTTTTATTTAACTGAATAACTGTAGAAAAGTTCCTTAATCTTGATTGCCGTACTATTTATAGCTGGACTGATTCATTTAAAATATATGATAGTTTTGTTTGGGAATTTGCTGCTGTTGTATCAAGCTACTAAACACACATGAACAGAAAATGAATCTCTTATGTAATGACACAAATTAGATCTTCTGCATGAGATGTTTCCATCTTGTGGCTATAAGAAGCATTTCCACCAAGAATGTTAACAACAATTCAAAAAACTCAAACTAATTCAAATTTTTTTCCAATAAATATATTATTATTATTTTAAATATTTAGTGTTTTGGAAAAAAAATTTTTTATTTGTTCTATAATTGTAGCTGTTTATCTATCTTATCTCATTTTTTAAATTTGCATTTCATGTATATTTGGTCTGCAGACCAGAAATTACAGCTGTACTTAGTTTCTCCTGCAGATATAGATGAGTGTGCCGAGGA